CTGCGTGTCTGAATGATTCTTGAACGTCTAATCTTTCATTCAGAGTTTGTGTGGCTCGATTTGGACTGTTGATCTAGATCCCCATTTGTGTTTTAACATGGCCCATCATATGCCCATTCTCGATTGGCTCCGCAGGACACCTCAGCTGTTGAGGTGTCAAGATTTTGGAAATTTACAGTTTTTTCCCAAAATTAGAAGATTTCTTTATTTAGGTTCTTTTTAACTTATAGTTTTTTCCAACTTGTTAAATCTTTTTTGTTTGACCCTTATGTAAAATTTTTCTTATTTTTCAAAATATTTGGAATTTTGAAAATTTTTTCTTAGAGAAATGTATAGTTTTTGAGGTTAAATTAAATTATCATCAAATTAATATTCTTTCAAAATTTAATTTTTAGAGTTTACCACAAGCCACGGCTCCTATTGAAATAAATTTTGTAATTTATTTTTTTTTTTTGGGTCAAACTTAGACACAGAATTTTACATTTTGAATTTAATTTCATATTCGGAAAATTACTGTCCCCGATCGTTACAGTTATTGTAAAACTGAATAACTGAAATTTTATTTTGTTATGTTGCAATTATATTTATATTTTGTGTTTTATTCTCTTTCTTGCTAAGTTTTGAGTCCACCAACAGAGCATGACTGTTTCACCATAACTCGTTTACGTGCGAAATAAAGTAATGAGTATTTATAACTCATGCACATTTCTATTAGGATATATGACATATAATCATTAAGTAAAGGGTGTATCTTTGCGCTTGTAACTCATTAACATTTCAGTGTAGGACAAATGATTTGTAATAATATTAATAATTTATAATTATGAGTAATGTTTATGCCATTGTAATATTACAAATTTATAATTATGATCAATGAGTATGTATATGTAATATTAAGAATTTGTAACTATGACTAATGAGTATAAATTCTATATAGTCATATAATGTATATATGTAGAATACATATAATTTATAACAATGACTAATGGGTATGTTTGAAACTAAAATAAATAATTTAACTAATATATATTTATTAAAATTTAGTAACAATTAAAAAGTAGAAACGGAATCAAATTAATAATTAAAACTACTCAAATTTTTGTCTTTTAAAAAAAAAATTGGGTGAACTTTGATATTCACAAAGTTTCTATAAACATAACTTACATTTTAAATGTTACACTATTTTGTACAGTTCTTTTTGCCAAATATCTTATGATTTCTTTACCAAAAACACTTTTTTTTGAAAAATATTTAGTACTTCACAATACAAATGTCAAAGGACAAATAATAAACAACAAACAAAATTAATCATAAGAAAAAGAAACTAAAAATCCCTTAAGAAGAGCAGAGGTAGAAATCACCCGAGAAGCAAAAGCAATTAAATACATCTCTTTTAATAATTATTCATATCATTCAAATGCATTAATGTTTTTGTAGATTTTATTATAAAATTTCAGTAATTTTTAGGTAAATTTTCGAGAACTAAAATTAAATTGGAATTCCTAAAATTACTTAAAAGTAGAAAAAAAAAAAAAGATCAATTTTGCCCAAGAAAATGAGGGACAAAAGAGATATTTATGAAAAATTAAACCATTAATCACATGTTTTGAAAAGTCAGGATCAAAATAACAATTGATTAAAAAGTCATGGACCTAAATATACTTAAACCTGAAAAATTAGTTATAAATGTATGAACTACCGATCTTGTTTAAGCAAGTTTCTCAACTTATTTGGTGCCAGATTTTGAGTAGGTTCTTAGAATCTATTCCTAGTTAATCTTCCATGTGTTAATTATATAAACCAGACAATATATATATGTATATACACACACATATATATATATATATATATATCTGTTCAATAATCCAGAATTCTACTAACACAGAATTGGCAATTTCCAAGAAAACTTGCAGTCAAGTAGAAGTCAAAGAAAAAACCTTATCTTGGGTTTTTAAAATCAAATGAAATCTTGTGTCAAAGCAAATTACTTGGCCTACTTTTCAATAATATATGATCAAAACCAAACATACTTGCCATAGGAATTTCTTCTAGCCCTTGTGGTAGAGCATAAAACCACTGTTTTGGTGAATTATTGAGATCCTTGCAGGAAATGCAGACTTGTAAACTCTAATAAATCGTATCAAGTTATTTAAAAGAGAGCAACAAATTGAATGAGAAGTGATAAGCTAATTAATTAGAAACCATTATTTTAAGATATCAAAGTTAGAAATACTAGTTTCTGACTACCTTTGTTAGTAGAGGCCTTTGTCTCCCTCGATTCTGCTTGAGTGTAGAGTCCAGTTCCTAGAAGTTCAAATTTTTGAAGGAAACAGAAACATAGTTTATTTAAAAAATTTAGGATAATTGTGTATATGCCCTTGCATGTGTGTGTTTTTTAGCCGCTAATACAGTTTAAGTATCATAGACAAATGACGGATGTGTGCAAAAATGTTCTTTTATTTGTTGAGCAGAAAATTAGAAGTGGAAAGTCATGCATACTCACTTACCCAAATTCTAAACATCTTCCTTCCCATTATAATACTTGCTCTTTATTTACACTATTGGTATAGAAATGGTTATGAAAAATGCCTCTACCATTTGCACCTCCAGCTAGCCACTTACAATCTTGAGATGTACAACATTGATACTTTGCTGCTTGAGAGATAGGAAGCAAGAAGAAAATAAATATTGAGAAAACCATTTTAGAAGTCAATTTATGACATCTAACAGCTCAGCTATTAATCCCATAGCTCCAACCCCTCCTCTTTCTAGGAGAGAAAGAGCTAGCTCATTTTCATGCCATCCCATCAATCCAACTGCCAACTTTTGCAATGTCTCCAGCTTCACTTCACGAATCCACGCTGGAGCACAACTCACCATTAATCCCACCGTGCAAGAGATATATGCCTTCCAAGTGCTAGGGTCACAGCCAAGAGACACATTCCCCTCCAATACCCTTACTAGGAAGTCCATATGAGCTCCAAGAATGCGAGACCTTCTTGACACTGCCCAGGATGGGGGTTTGTCCCCAACGCCCCACACCAGTGACCCTGACAAGATCAGAAAATAAGT